AACGCCCCCGGAAAATGCATAAGCCATCCTTGCTGTAGCAAAAACCCTGTCTCTCGCAGCAGTTGCAGAACTAGCAGATCTATAAATAAATAAGCGGTATATTCTCGGTAAAACGAGACACACCAGTAAAGGTGTGATCAAATATGCATACAAGCATAGCTCCTTTGGAATGTTAAAACATTTCGTTTTAATGAAAGGTAAGAAAAAGTTGTAGTTCATATGAGTGAGCATAATGTCAGGTAATAGTCAGACCAAGGAAATGTTGGCGCTGTGGCGCGCAAAAATCCATCAAGACACAAGTTGGGGGTAATTTCGCCAGGTGGTGATCTGTGAGCGCAGGAGCCAAAGCAAGGTTTTGGTGCAAAAAACGACCATTACAAAATAGGGATGATCTGTGCCCCATCAGAGCATTTTTCATAGTAGGATTGGTTGCACAACTTGGATGTAGAAGGCTGAGGACTGCGTCCGTGCGAAAGGTTTAGCTGTGACCTTATTTTGTGGCGAGTCACATTCGCCACGTTGCAGCGCTGTTAAACGGACATTTGTGGCTTTTTATGGGGAGAACGCTTGCCAGGCGAAAACCCACCACGTCCTGGAACACTGCCGTGGCTTCCGGTGAACGGTAGAGCTAAGCAGCTATGCTACATTTAGACCGATTTTGCACTCCATTATTCGCAGTCGGTTGACAGCCAAAATTCTTCGTTGGTTAGCCGAGTGGCTTAGAAGTGATACGGCAGCAGCCGTTGAAGCCGGTCAATGATGCAAAAGCTTCCAAGAGTCGCATGATAATGATGCAGGTGAGTAAACACATTGTTAATAGGGCCGGCTTTTCTATTATATTCTGGTGCTGCTTGTAAACCGTGTCCAGCTATCCACGCTTCACTTGTCATGGGGTCGGTGAGTGAAGTTGTTTCGTGTGGCTGAATATGTCCATAACAGGTAAAAATGCCATTCTCCACAAAGTGGATTCGGGATTCCTTCAAATGTGAGTAAGTTTAATTGTCTCCATAGCCAAGTGAAAATTTCATGATGTGCCATCGGAAAAGCCACGTATACGGGCACAACGCTGTCCGTGTAATGACATCAGAATAGCTCCAGGTGACTGGCGAATACGAATGTTTGAGGCAGTGAAGGTAATCACGCCAGAATTGTTTGTCTTGGCTTGTGGAACGGGGATCCATGTACATATGTTATTCCAGGTCAGTAAATTGTTTTCGCTGAATACGAGGTGAGCTACACCCATTTGTTTGGGCCCCGTGAATGTAGCGCCTCCAGAATGGCGGAAAGAGCTCCATTGGGAACGATGTGTGGGTTCTTCATTTCCCGGAGAAAGGACAAAGCGTTTGAAGATGGGTCGACCAGTTCCAGTTGATAAACGTTCTTGTTTTGGCGGAGGTAACTGTGGGAATCTTGGAACGACATCAGCAAGCGAACGAATCTAGGACGTTCTCTTGACTTAGCCCCGTCGCAGCTTTGGCGACATAGGCGACTAGTGAGCCGTCGGCAATCGACGTTTTATTATCGTAAATAGCGACACTATAACGCCGTCCAGAAACTCACCCTAGGTCGTAAGCAATGCAGCCGCTCTAGCTCATCACCTCGTCGCAAGAAGCCTAACAATTCGATTTTGCTTTTAACACTCGCATTTTGGTAACAAAGCCCTTACGTGGCAGCAACCACGCAGTTTCCCCGCCGCTAAGCAGAGATGCTTCCAGGCCGGACCGTAATGGCGACTAACGGGGTCGGCGAAGCACAAAGTGGTCTCCTCTACATTAGGTATTATGGCTCCGATACCCCGTTCTTTGTTGATACCGGTAGCGGAACTCAGCGTCAATCCCCCAATGCCAGATGACCCTACCACTTCTCTGCTGACAAGCCCCCGTGCGACCAATGGCTAGCCAATAGCCACCTACGGTCAACGGTCGCTTACCCTGAACCTAGGTATTCGGCTCACGTTCCACTGGGTATTCCCCGTCGCTGCAGTCCCCTTTGCCATCAGTGGCATTGACTTCCTCAAGCAGTTCGACCTCTTGTTCGATACAAAACACCAGATGATAGTCGACACTGCAACGAAACGCGGTGTACTTGGCAGAAACGCCGATGTCACATCTAAATCCCTGGTCTATGCATTTCCCCAGACCCCGCCAAACAACCCTAATCTCTTTTCTCGGTATTCCTAGCTCGTTCAGCCAACGAAAGTAGCTTTGCCCGCCACAGCTCAGGTCGCACACCACATACGGAAGTATGATCTACCTTTCTCACGCCGTCCACGCCGACTATCGCCCCAGAAACTAAAGGTAGCTAGGCGGAGTTTGAGCGCATGCTTGAACTTGGAATAATCCGCCCTTCCGACACCCCTCGGTTCTCGCCCCTGCAGCTGGTCGCCAAGAACTCTGGTGACGGGCGCCCTTGCCGTGATTACCGCGCACTCAATCGCCTAACCGTCCCAGATAGGTGTCACATCTCACACATGCAGGAGCTTACCGCATGCCTCACGTGTAAGACTATCTTCAGCAATATCGAGCTGTTTCGCGCCTCTCACCAGATACCTGTAAGAGAAAATGGCATTCCTATGACAGCCGTTATCACTCCGTCCGGTTTTTTGAATTTTTAAGAATGCAATTTGGACTGTGCAACGTCGCACAAACCTTCCAACGCTTCATCCACGACGTCAATCGTGGTCTAGCCTGCGCTTATTCTTAACTCGAGGACATTTTTGTCGCCAGTTCAGCGGAACAAGCGCACCTCGAACATATTCGAACTCTCTTCCGGCGCTTGACCTAACACGGTGTCACAGTCAACCTGACTAAGTGCGAACTCGGCAAATCCGCGGTAGAATCCCTAGGCCACCTCGTTTCACCGTATGGTATCGAAGTGCTTCCTGATAAGATCCAGGCAATCAAGGACTTCCCAGCTCCGACTTCCTTCAAGCACTTCCGTCGATTTCGTGGTTTGGTCAACTACTATCGAGGCTTCATTCCGCGCTGCGCTCAGCTCATGCATCCACTGACTGACCTACTCAGTGGGAATGAATGTACGTTCGCTTTCCCTGACACAGCACAGGCAGCCTTTGCCGAGCTCCAGGATGCTATCTCCAACATAGCCCTCCTCGCTCAGTCCGAAAAGACTGCAGCCCTTTCTATTACGACTGAGGCCTCAGACGTCGCGGTGGGAGCCGTCCCCTAACTACACGTTGGTGGGCCATGGCAACACCTTGGGTTCTTCTCCAAGCACCTGCAGCCAGCGGAATCCCGCTACAGCACGTTTGGCAGAGAACTGCTCGCTATTCACCTAGCCATTCGTCACTTCCGGCACACCTTCGCAGGATACGCTTTTACGGTCTACACTGACTATAGGCCCCTTATCTTTGCCTTCAACTCTGCTTCCGACAAATACTCAACACGGGAAACAAGACACCTAGACTTTTTCACGCAGTTCACTACTGACATACTTCATGTCAGAGTTGTCGACAATCCCGTCGGCGACGCTCTCTCACGCGTCAACCTCATTCTGCAATCTTTGCCTACGGTCGAACTTGACGCCATGGCATCGGCTCAGGCTCAAGACGAAGACATACAACGCACTCTGCAGTCCACTTAGCTGCAGGTGCACACTGTTCCCTTCCAAACCAGGGAAGGAACCACTCTCCGTGACGCTTCCGCAGGTTGTTTTGGACCCCTCGTGCCCGTCTCCTTCAGACGCACACTCTTTGAAGCACTGCACTCACTATCACATCCCGGTATCCGTGCGTCTTTGAAACTGCTCGCTGAGCGTTTCGTTTGGCCACGCGTAAATAAAGATGTTCGTACCTGGCCCCACGCTGCTTTCAATGCCAGCGCTTCAAAACACATCGTCACCCCCGCAGTCCTCTGGGTTCATTTCCTGCCCCGGACTCTCGGTTCTGGCATGTACACGTAGAACTGGAAGGCCCACTGTTTCCTTCACGCGCTTTCGTATACATTCTTACATGAAAGCCATTCCGCGTAGCGCTTTTCAACCTTACAAGCGGATGGATAGCCAGTAGTCCGAATGCGGAAATATCATCTTAATTGAATATATCATGAAGTAGAGTGTGTATTTAGGCAATATAAAAGCCAATATTAACTATTCCTATGTCATGCAATCACCAAAATTCATTACTAAATAAATATTACGCGTACAAGCTGACAGCGAATATACCCATATTATAGTGCATAAAATAAGAAACATACCATTACAGTTTTTACTGCATTGCATCGTAATGGTAGCTTTCAAAGTAATTCGTGCTATAACGTACGACATTAATAGGCACGCCTATAACCTTCTTTACTAATTTCACAGCCATTCCACCCTCTGGTTGGCTAGGCAAACAACATCCTCGGGTTGCAAGCTGGGTGGCTCAGGTTTAACTTGTTGTAGCAAATAGTTCGACGGCAGTGTTCCAGGACGTGGTAAGTTTCCACGTGTCAAGCGTTCGCCCTATAAAAAGCCACAAATGTCTACGTAACATCACTGTGATTTGGCGACCGTGACTCGCTACAAAAACATATCACTCTCCCGATATCAAACCTTCAACAATAGAGCAACACAGTTAGGAGCACAAAGGACAATGAACAATGAATTTATACGGGTTAAGAAGCGTTGCTTTACAAGTCCCGTTGGATAGTTGCAGGGGATATCAACATAACAATAATGATGATAAGGATAATAAAATAGATAATACTTTAAATATGAAAATAAGGACTTATCGTTTGCTTCGCTGCAGTCCTGCGATCCTCTTAGGTTTACAGCATCCCCAGTTAACAACAGATAATTCTATGGTAAACTCCAGGCGTAGGATGGAGATGTAGTTTTAAGTAACTAAGAGTAAGTGGATGAGTTCACCGTCCAACCGTCTTTTAAATACGGTTAGTGTCGGTGCAGGGACGACGATTCTGGGAGAGCATTCCACAGGTGACAGACACGGATGGAAAAGAAATTTCTGCGGCAATCCAGACGTCTGTATTGTTCTGCGAGTTTTAATGAGTGGCCCATCAGGTTTGTATTGCTGCTGAGTTGCAGTAAACTACACAGCTAAGTACACACACACACACACACACAATCAAGTAGTTACTCACGTACACCGCTACACACACACACTGTTATGTCAACCAAATCGGAGTTTTGCACATTGTTGATCACGAACTGTAAAGTCAAAATGATCCTACCTGTAAACGCGTGCCTCGCCTTGTCGGTAATAAAATATTTATATTAGGGTTCACAGAAGGTCAATTAAAACAAGAACTGCATAATTGAGTCCCTTAATCACTAAAAGGTATAAAGGTTACTAAAAAGCTAAACAAGATTTTGCTATCCATTTTGCATTTAAAAGTATAGTTTGGGGTAGAACAGTTGTTAACTACAAGTCGCCAATGGATGGTGCTTGACGTTGTTCAAATAGTTGCATGCAGATGAACACAGTATGTTATCATTAGTTCTTACAATACAAAATAAATAAATATACTAAAAATTTATTTAGCATACCTGAAGCGCAATGGAGCATCGGCGTGCCGACACAGAGACTTGGCTTTACAAAGTACAAAGATATTGAGAAGAAGCGGATGTTAAATTTCGTGTTTTGCAACCTATTTTCTTGAACCTTATTAAAAAACAACTTTACGTTTTCACACTTTGAAATGATATGTATGTGTACTTCTAAGTTGGCTATATAGGCGCCATTCGTCGCCATCTTGGTTCCCGCGCTTGTTCTCGTCCGCACGCTCCTTTGGTACCTCTTTGCTTATCTCGTCGTTTTTCAGTTATTGTTACCTTTTCAAGATTTGTTAGTTCATGTAGCTCACCCGCCTATAGTTTTTGCACGATTTTTTTAGTTTATTAGGGTATACGAAGCATTTGTTCTACGCCGTATTGCAGAGGCTTCTACAAAAAAATAATGTTACCATTCTATCGGGGCGAGCACGTATCAAAATCAATAGGGAAAAGCTTTGTCAATTATCTTTTTACCATTCGTTTATTACACATCCGTTGTTTTTCTATCGCTCAGCCTGCTGAAATATACAGGTTCTCCACGTTTTGCACAGTAATTCATTCCATTATGGTGCATTGTAGCATGATACGACGCTTCCTTCATGCTACTTATACTTTAAAGCTCATAGCAGTCGGCTAACTGCGCTCACGTTATTCTCGCGTTCACTGTCCAGGGTGACTTTTATTGACCGTTATCCCTGTACTTATTCTCTGGTTAGTCGGGTTTTTTACACTTGCGTTGACAACACCTTAGCGTGCGTAGCACCGCTAGTCGGTGCTTGTGTTCACTGTCGTTGCTTCAGTCAACCGCAGTGTTTACGCTGCAAGCAATGCCTTCTACTACGAGCTTGACGTCGCGCAAGGAGGCCAGTCAATTCTGTTGAACCAACTTCGCATTGGCTTGCAGTTATATCGTCTGAGCCCACCTTGGACGACGTCTTCTGGCTTACTTCCGGGCACGACCAGTGGCGAGCCTTAATTTCCCCCCACTTGATGTTGGCCACTTGTGCCTTTCTGTCGTGGCACAACGGACACCAATACTACTGCATTTTCTGTTCAAACGTGGACTTTAGTGTCGTCAAACTGCGGGCAGCATGGCTCCACATTGTGGGTGCCATTCCTACAGCACGATAGTTTGCCCTGTTTATGAATCAGTGTATTAACTACTTTCCCTTTACAAGATGAGGTCATCTCTTTTCCTACTTGATTGGCGGTTTAGCTACTCCTGTACACGTTTACTTAAACAGCGAGCGGTTTACTTCTCTAAGGCATAATTTTGCTGCCCACGTTAATTGTCACTGCAAGTCTGTTTCTGTAGTGCGAGTCACTTCAGGATATCCTTTTATTTTAGTTGGTCAAAGCCTGCTTCCCGCCCCTCCTCTGTTAGGTTTGGCGGCGTGTTTAGAGCTAGTATGTTTTCTTAGTTTTGGTGCTTGTAGTTCGTGTGTCGAATGTATCCACTTGTCATTTATTGACAGAAGCGTCCGTAATCAGTCCAATCCTCCAGCCAATCCGCGCTCCATAGCTGGTATCTGCCATTTTACAAAACCTTATTTTTCTTTCCAATACGTATTGTTTCCTTGATTCTGTTACAGTCAACTAACCGGGCGCAGTTACATGTGGTTCCTACGTACATCAGTTATATGAAGTGTAATGGTAATGTAATGGTTAGCTTCGGAGTTTGCAATCCTGCACGTTTAACCCGAAGTACAAGAGCACATCTGCGTCTTGTGCATCCTCATTTTCAGCTAATCATAAAACGCTGCCTGATATATGCGCTGTTTTTCTACCACCTGTTAGCAGTGTAATGTACAGCGGAACGCACGCTTTTTATCCCGTCAAGTTTTCCGGCTTTTCATGTACTTAATACTGTTGCCCTGTTCATTGGTATTACGGACATTTAGTTTCCCATCGTACTTATTTGGCTTTATTACCATTAAAATCCCATGTGCTAATGTCCTTTCTTTTACTTTACAGCACCCATTGTCAAGTTTAATGTCTTTGGCTCTTTTTGATGTCGTCAAGGGGAGGGTAAGGATTGCATCTTATACTGCTATCTTTTGCTTCACGAGGCACGTTCAACAATTACTCGCATACTCTGCTCCTGGACTGCAATTGAATTCTGTCCAACTCTTCTATCACCCATCTCCGATTGTTGCTGCCTTCACTCGTTTTTTTAGCACAGCGATCCATAACTAAAACCTTTACACGAGTGTCGGATGAAATCTGAATGGAATAAAGCGTCTGCCACAGCTCACTAGTTCATATTTGTGTACATGCTGCAGACTGAAGCGTCAGTACGAAGTGTCGGATTATTCTGTGATCCTAGTAGTAATGTATATTGAACCCAGTTCTGCTCTGCATCGTTGTCTATTGTAAAGAAGGGTAATGAAAAAAAGAAGTATTTGAATACTTAAGATATCTAAGTCTAGTTAAGGAGTCAAGGATAAAAAAATTATGAAGAGGCGCCAGTGACTTTCTGACCGTCATGTTCGAAAGTCCGTACGAATTGATGCAACCGGTCTCAAGATACCCTAGCGGGAAACCAACATTCACTCACATAACTGAAATTTTCCGTTAGGTTTATCCAAATTCTTAGTCGTCACCGACTTTAACCTGATCAGTCGGCAACCAATGGTTTAGGTGGTCGGTAGATACAAGAATTACTCGATTTAGCTAGTAGGTCGGTATAAGTACGATAGACGATCCAGCTCATCGCTAGGGGACCGTCGTTAAACTACAGGTATGCATTCGGCTCACTGAACAATAACTACGGCTCGCAAGCATTAATGGTCAGCGATGGCAAGCCAGTTCTATTCAATGCTTAATGGCCAAGAATTTATCCGGCCTTACATTGTGCACACTTTCGATACTGAAGCTCCGCTGTCCTGCCCCAATTCCTCAGCTTTGTATTCCAGACTATCGTAACAGTCCTCTCAATCTTTACAAGAAGCTCTGCAGTACTCATAGACCCGTTTGCTTGCATCTGGCCGATATCCCTTCAACTGTACTCAGTTCATTCCTTACTCCATTCTCACCTCGTTCGCTTTTTAACTCATTTTTGTATCCGTTATCAGGCTAACGCGAGTCAGAAACTAGATCTAACCCATTTCGGTTCCCGGATTCCCGATGACTTTATGGTTCATTCACCTCGTTCCCTTAATGACCTGGCGTTCCGGTTCGAGTTGATGTTTTTGTCGATTAGATGATACTTCTCTGTCGTACAACTGCGATTACCTGTACATTGATAGTTAGAGGACAGAAGAATCTGGGGTAAAACGCTCCGAACAAGCGTTTGTGATGACGTCGCTTGCCTCTTTGTCAACAAAATTGCGAACGACTTGCTATCGTGCGGAATTAACAGCATACGTTAGACAGCTTTCTGGAGGCCTACCTATCTACCTTCATGCCTCTTCAAGAATGGCAATCGTAGATTGCTCACGGGTATCACTTTTCGATGATGTACTGGTACCCATGAGGGCCAAATCGCTGAAAGACCGACTGGGTTCCGCCCTGGTCATGGTCGCATCGACTAAATATTTACTCTTCGCAGGAACACAGACGACCGACTGAAGTTTTCCTTGACCTATTGATTGTGCCAGCCTCTGGCACTGCTTATCTTTGGAGCGCAGGAGAAACTTTCCATTCTCAACCGTAACCCCAGAGTCTGGGTGAGTGTCTACGAAAAGCTGTCTCATGAGTTCCCCACAACAAGCTTCATCAGACTTCTTCTATATATCCTTTCCTTTTTGTCACTGAAATGCTCACAAATAAACGGAATTTCTTCTCTCGACCCTAACGCAGTGGTTGTGCAAGCACTACCGAATAGACTAACGCGTAGCGCCGCACGCATCAGTATATACTTTTCCTTTTCAAGATGCAAAGTATATTGCAGAATTCGACCGATACACTACTGGTCCTTGCTGTCACCGGAATTGTTAAATCGGCTCACTTAGTAGGTGTCGCTTATGGTGATCACATCACTAAGTTACCTTGCGCATTAGCACAGACTGTGGCATCTCATAGGCTCAGCAATTTCTGCGGACGGCGGGATATCAACCTATCGGTGAAATTTAAGGTATACGAATCTGCGATAATGCCGGTGTTGTTGTATGGATCAAAGAGCTGGTCAGATTGCAGTGAAGACATTAAACGATTAGCCGTGTTTGACTACCGATGCTTACAGAGTATTTCTCACGTCTAGTGGGAGCACCGGATAAACATGGCTGAGGTCCGTTAACTGGTTTTTGGCAAGGAGCTTTATGGTGCACAACTGCTTATGTTGTTTAGATAATATCCTTTGTTCGCCTGTCCACAGCCTTCCTACGTGTTCATTGCACGCCGTGACTCCACTATGTTCGAAACCGCGAGGTGGCCAGTCGGTGACATGGCGTAGAGGCTTAAAGAAATTGACGGAGAGACTTGATCAGGCTTGTGCCGTCTTCGTGCATGGGGCCCCGGGATAGTCCACACTAGTGGTTGTAGATCCAACCAGACATCGTGCAGTGAAGTTCCTGCATTTGTTTTCTCGCCTCGGGCTGATAATTTTCCTTTCATCCGGACTAGCTTAACATATTTCCTTGATTCCATCTTGTCTACATTCTGTTTGCATTCAACCTCTTTTTCTTGCCCTTGTAATCTGTTATTCTGGCGATGTGAATCGTGGCGTGTGAATCAACCGCATTTCCGTATCCGCATCATATTTCAACTGAATCGAACTCGCGACTTTCACCATTTCAACAACAAACAAAAGCAGCAAATCAGCCATTTGAACTGATGCTTCGCTGCCATACAACCATGATGACCTATAAAATAAAGAATAAGAGGCAGAGAAGGGGTACTTACCTGAAGACCTTAATGCCCTAAGCAAACATTCAGGCGCCTACACCTTGTGTGGACACAAACAGCTGACTATCGTGCAAAGAAAAGGTGGCATCGCCGAGACAGCTCCCTGGCGGCTTTCACTGCCCCGCGTCATAATCAGCCATTACCCCGCAGATAACTCAGCAATCCAATTAGGAGACGGCAGCAGACGCGCCACTAGTGTCTACTGCGAGCCATATCCTGTAGTCTCGAGTCAAGCACAAGGCGAGTCACGTGGACTCCAGCCCGGAAGACGAGACGGACCAAAGGCACCCAGTTTGGTCGTCAGTAACTTCATTTCCCGCTACCAAGTCAACTTCTGTCCACCTCGAGCCCTGCGCCACCCTACACCTGGCAGACTAAACACGGCCCTCCTAGGTAGGCGGTGACTAGGCATACGTAGCACGTATCCAAGCCAACGCAACTTATGCAATGCTATCTGTTGTTCTAGGGAGCTAGCATGATTATCACCACCTAGTACTTGCCTACGCACATCATCGTTGCGGACACGCTGGTGCCATCTGACTCCAGCAATGCTTCGCAGACAACGATGATCAAAGACTTGCAGGCGCTTTAGATCTTCAGACCGAAGAAACCAAGTCTCACTACCATAGAGCAGAACGGCCCTAACTGTGGCCTTGTATACACGGCCTTTCAGACGGAGGGAAACTCCCTTCTGTCGCCAAAGATGCCGCAGGTTCAAGAAGGTAGCTCTGGCTTTTGCAATGCGTGAGCTGGTGTCAGTTTCTATGCGCCCATCATTGCTGATGCAGCTGCCAAGATAAGTGAAATGATCAACCACCTCGAGTTCCTCGTTAGCAAGCGTCAAGGGATCCTGCAGCAACACTTTGTACTTTGAAGGTGCAAAATGCATACCAAATAATGGGGCCAATCTAGACAGGCGATTCAGCGTTGATTATGCCGCCCCAACATAGTCGAAAAGCAAGACGATATCGTCGGCTTAATCAAGACAAACTAATCTTTCACCAGGCAGCACTTCAACACCTACAGCGTGAGATTCCGCAAGGGAACACTCGATGATAGAACCCACGACGAAATTGAACAAAAATGGGGAAATCGGACAACCCTGACGAACGCCACTTGTGGTCGGAAAGCTATCCGACAGGAAACCGTAGACCCTGACGCGACCTGTAGTGTTCGAGTGTAGAGCACGAAGGATGTTCACATATTTTCAAAGGAATATCTTTCTGCGCAAGTATTTCGAAGAGTGCACCGATCGGCTGAATCGAACGCACTCTTGAAATCGAGGAACATAGCTATTGTCGGTGTGCGGTATGCGTGGCGCTGCTGTCGCAAAGTGAATATATGGTCTATACATCCACGTCCTGGGTGGAAACCGGCCTGCTCTTTCCTAATCCGAGATCCCCATTCCGCAGTGAGGCGACGAACGATAATCGAGGAAATAATTTTGTCACAACTGGCGTTAGGCTAATACTCCTGTGGTTGGAGCAGTCTGTGCGACTGCCCATTTTGTATATTGCCACTATAATCGATTCGCTCCAATCAGCCGGGACACTTCCTTCCAGACACGTTTAAATAGGGAGGTCAGTGCTTTGCAGAGGACCTCACCTTTATCCTTAAATAGTGCAGGTAGGAGGGAATCCGGACCAGCGGCACGAAAACGATTGAGGGCTATGATCGCGTTTCGGACCTCGGCCTCCGACGGAGGCTCTAAACTAACCGTCAATGGCTCGTCCTGCATCACCTGAGTAGGAAGAGGTCCGGGAGAGGGGGGCCAGCTGAACTGATCTTGAAAGTGTTCTGCCCAACGAGCCATACGGCGCACTCGCGTCGTCTCTGGGTGTCTCACTGACACTTAGTTTCCTCGGACCAGTGGTGCTGATCAGCTGGGAGAGCTTGCGGTAATTGTCTACTGCTCCTGCCTCCTTCATTTCTTGAGCCCTACTGGTCCACCAGGCTTCCTTCTCAGTACGTAGGCTCTGCTTTAATTCGCGCCTAATATCCCGTCTGGTCACATTGTGTTCAGAGCCAGTCAGGAGGTGTCTTCTAGATTCCAACAGGTTCACTGACCTCTCGGATATCCAGTGACTCGTGCGGTGACGATGGATAGTGCCACAAGCAGATGCTCTTGTGTCGTGCATGGCGGCTGAAATTCTATTCCACCGATGCTTAGTGTCATTGGAACA